TAATTTCAGGAAGACCAAAGGGAAGTCTCCTGAGTTGTCTTCTCCATGGAAAGGCTCATATGACATAGTGGATCGTCTCTCAGACGTGACTTTCCAGATAAAATGTGATCGGCAAGGTAAGCCAAAAGTGGTGCATGCCAACAGGCTTTGACGTTATCATGGTCCAGGACATTTCAGTTGGGATGAAGTGAACAACAGAACAAATGACGCTGCTGAAGACGTGTCACCTGAAAAAGCCACCGTCGAAGAAGAAACTCTACTCAGTTTTGAGAAGGGAAATGGTGAAGCTCTTGATGAAGTTACTACCACTGATGTGACTGTTATCGACGATAGGACATTTCCTGATGAAGCAGATGAATCCCATATGAAGCAGAAGCCAACGAGATGGAGACTAATACGGAAGAAGATACGTCCCGTAAAATTAAGAGACTTTGTTGAATTGTAATTTTGTGTTGATAATTCTGTACATTTAATTAAGTTATTGTTAATTGTTATTGGTTTAATGTAAGTGGCTATTGTTCGGAACGAACAATACTAAGGAAGGGGCAGTGTTACGACATCGGAGGTCACGTGCCGCTAGTATCACGCCACAAGCTTTTCGAACGTTCACGTCCCTTCCTGAAATATCGGGAGTTTACTAGATCTCAGTATTCTTTTATATATAACACGGTCACAACGTGGCAGCAATAATGTAATGAGTAATTGAATGTATGCGGACAGAGAGTATTGTTGGGCACGGGAGACGTTTGTTGTGAGTTATAGTGTTGGTTATACCGCGACTGTTGAAATTAAGTGTATTGCAAAGTTGTATTCAAAAAGAATAAACCAGTTTTATATAAGAAAGGACTTGTATCATTAGAGTTTCTTCGGAAAGAAATTTTACGAAAAATTAACTAACGAACGGAGACGTAACAATACTATAAAGAAACAAGTTTTACAGCCCACTTTTCAGGACTAACAGAGCAACCATGAAGTCCAACCATCTCAGAGCATATGTTATTCCTATCTTGTACTCCAAGAGCAACCATGAAGTTCAACCATCTCAAAGCACATGCTATTCGTATCTTGTACTCTAAGAGCAACCATGAAGTTCATCATACTAAACAAGTGTCAAATTTCTAATTCACAATTTTTATTTGTATTATATATAACACACATTATGATTAGTTAGTAAATTTCTTCAAACAACATATGACTAATAATCACATAAATTAAAAATGTTCTACCATACCAAACAGGAACAAATATCACAGGCTTCTTTCCATGAGGCACCATCAGGATGAATAGATCCATTTATCTGACAATTCTTGCGACACTCACATTCTTCCACTACAGTGAGACGTTCCTCTGCTTCTACCAACTAACATAAATATATAATATACAGGTTTAAGCAAACTTAATATACAGTGTTTATAATTTTGTTTCGCTACATTTGTAGATAACTTACCAAAGCAGCTTATCATTATTTACCAGCAAATTATATACATATATATATATATTAACTTATAATTTCACATCCCTACTAAAAGTAAACTGAGTAAGCTGTTTTGATCTTAATAGTAAAACTAGAACAACATACACACAATCTATATATTTTTTTCTTAACTATATTAAGCATGAGAACTTATAATACTAAAAGTTGGGGTTTGATTCACATGATACAAGAAAAGGACACAGCACAGATAGACTATTGTGTTACTCGTTATCAAAAAAACAAAACATAACTACATAGCCTCTTATTCACTCTTCTTGTGTCAGTAGGTAATTTTATGATGGTATTACAATATTAATAATCAATGTACATATAGACATTGAATGTTTCTGTATTTTTGTTTATAAAACAGAGCTACAAAATGAGTTTCCATAAGGAACTATAAAAATTATTTGCAATTTTTTTGCTTCTCCTACTTCTTTCAAAAGCAAGCTAAAATCTTTTGAAGATAGTATCTTAAATGGTATGATATGTATTTTACAGGAAAACATTCAGCACAAAAACTCTTTTCTACTTGTGAAAAAACGGATGCAATTTTCTACTTATCAGTTTGGAAATTCAGTGAATTCACATTAAAGTTACTTTTCCTTATTACAACTTCTCTCTTTGTACTAACGGATTTATGTTATATGAAACTTGTGTACTAAAACTGTTTTCAAAAAATTGTGTTATTTTTTTGTTTTTCAGTTTTTGTCTACATTATATAAATGTAATAACTGGGCAATCAATAAATATCAAATGACCTCATTTTTATGATGGAAAATCAAATTTGTATGGTTTATGAAAAATGTGTTACTTAGATACACACACACATTTATATGTATATACAATGGTATATTAATTTAGTAGAATTTTTTTGTGAAAATGGAATACAATATTACATAACACACAGTATACCAATTTTTGTCTGTCAACTTTTATTTTTTTAAGGAATTTAAGGCATTTATTAAAAATAAGCACAGTATAAGTTATGTATACATATTACTTTAAACCATGTCATTTCTAGACTCACTGTAAAACTATAAAATGGTGTTGTTTCATACTTACTTATATCTTTAAGAGTGTAACTACCAAATTAAATATAAAAATAATTATATACATATTTATATGCACACAAACTATTTATATTGTGACAAACAAAATATGGGCTTGCTCAAGGTCCACAGTGCACATCAATGCTCTAACAGAGAATCGACACCCTATGTATGCAACTTTTCCCAAGATGATAACAATATAAGTATTGATTACTTTAAATGAATTAATATTTCATTAAAATATTAATCAATTTTTTTATTTTTTTAAAATTACTTGTAATAGAAAAATAGCTATTTCTTTTTCTCGCAAAAGTATGCATAGGGTTGAAAACCTTATATTAAAATGATTTTGAGCATGTAAATATGAGAGTCATGTGACAACCACAGCCAATAGAAACTTGTGGTGGAACAGAATGTATCAGAAATACATTTTAACATTGGGTATAAACTTATGTGTTCATATATCATGGATACTCATACCACCAATGCTTCTTCAATAACCATTTATTTTTGAAGATCTGTGGACTCCTTTTCTCATGGCTAGTTATGGCTAATACTGATTATGCAAAAGTGCACCATGAGATTCACAACCATGGCATCATTATCTAGGAATTTGGTAATACTTTTGTTATATAGCAAAGTGTTTTTTTTTACAAAAAAGTGCAGTTCATAGTTTCATTTTCTTCAAGAATAAGTGTCTTTAGCTAAAATTCAGGAAATTAATTTTATTTTAATAAGCACACAAACATTACTAATAATGTCTGTTATTTATTAGAGAAAAAAACCTCTTCCAAAATAATGATATTCAAACGACTAAGCTTATTGATGAGTGAACACCTACTCTGTTTGTTAATTCCCTGAGTCGATTCTCCAAGTGAACCACTGACAGTCGCAACTCATGAAACTGTCCACATGTTGGACAACCTGTGGTAAGAAATACAAATACAAGTTATAAACCATACACAGAAATTAGTTGTTTCTAACATAAAATTTCCATAATCTTAAATAACTAAAGTGAATGTTACAATGTTTAAATCTACATTTTCAGCATCTCTGTAGTTATGAAATGCAATCAACAGAAGATAAAAAATGAATACCAAACTTAAAGAACAGTGACCATGATGGTACAAGATAAAAAATCTGTTATAATGCATAAACAGCAACATCATAACTAAGTTCTGAAAGGAGAAATTTATTATAAAGAGCAGTCATAATGATATCCATGTGGAAAAATGATCCAGACCAAAGAGATATAGCCATGATCTTCAAAAAAAAAAAATATTTACCTGTGTTGAGTTGAGGGCACTGTTGAATATATCCATGGGATCTTCCAATTATTTTGACATCCTGCAAAAATCCCTAAATAGATATCAACACAAATTTAGCTCATCCCTGTTGATAAACTAAAGTACTTAAAATATAATGAATCATCCGCAGCCACATATTCAATTTTTATCAGTGTTTGAAGTTGCTCAGAAACTTCGTCTCAGATAATTTTTATGAAGCTCCAATATTAAAGACAACTAGCATTATTTAGGGTGTTCAAAATTAGAAATGAGAAAAATAAAACATTTTTTAGATAATATGGGAGATTCAGAGATGTCGTATTTTTATACTACAAGATGAAACCGGCATAGAGAGAGTATTTGAAAGAAATAATAATAATGAAAATCTGCTCTAATATCAACTTACAGCACATGGACCACAGAACTCCTCACTGTCATTGAATACATGGATGATACCTTCTAAAATTTAAGAAGTTAGAATCCAAGCTTAAAATTACAGTTTAAGAAGTGAAAGTTCCAAATTCTGTTTGTTTAAAATAGCCTCTATCTTACAAATTATCACAATGTTGCAGGGCCAGTGCTAGGGAGGTGTTGGAGTGGGCTGTGTACTCCCAAATTTTGCTCTAGTCTTCCAAAGTGCTAAGAAGAGTCAACTTGAGTGGGACAAATTTATTTGTTATATTACCTTTCTGTAAATCCATATCATTGTATGGTGGTCCCCACCAAAGTTCCATTGACCCTCCCAAGAGAGAGGAGCTAGGGCTGTGCTTGCAACATTGTAATTTGTGATAACAGCATTATGAGTTGTCAAAATATGACACTATGGAATTCTAAATTAAATGCTGCTTATCCTCAACTCCATTACTTATCATAAGGTTCATTGGTGATAATGACATATATTGTTGAAACACGCTGTGATTCCTAAACTTAAACCCATTAAACCAGTAAACCTCATTACTTTCACAATGTACTCAAACATAAAGTTGTTCTAATCCTTTCTTATAAAATACAAGAACTGCTGATAAATTGACATTTGTAACAACGTGAATTACAGATTTTCTTTCTAAAGTTGTTATTATACTTGAAGAAATCTCATTCTGATGTGTTAAACAAAAAGGGTTTTCTATAGACTAAGTCAAGATTAGTCAAATCATGACTAAAGGTGAGCAGGACTTACCTTATTATTCTTAAGACACCTTTTCACGTGTGTCACTCTTGACCAAAAACTTTTTTTATTATATATATATATAGAATAGCGTATTTAGAATAAAAACACAATGTAACTATGAATAAATGTGATAATCGTGCTTAGAATGAAAGGTTTTTCCTACTCTTTTTGCCTAATAGAAACACTACTGATAAGAAAAACTATATGAGAAACATGAAGTTATTATGGAGTCAAGATCTTGGCATACACTTAGGATGAAGGTAAGTAGTTTGATCTCTTCAAAAGAATCACTAATTATTCATCTGTCTATGTACATTAGTTAGAAAGTTTTATGTTTTTTAAAATTTACCTAGAATTACAAACAATGTAATTTACTACACACACACACACACACACACATATATATATATATATATTGTTACGACAGCGAAAGTCACGCGACTCTGGGAGCATGTGCGCTGGAGTTTCTAGAAGGATCATGACTTATCGAGGTACCTCGCGAATGTCCGAGTGTTTGTCAGGAGTCCTTCTTTTTTAGTATATAAGCCTGACGAGAAAAACCAGCGCGAGAGCATAGATTGAATAGATATGCAGATAGATTGAAGAGATAGATAATTGAGTCAAGCGAACAGTAGGCA